TGTTAGCAAATACTCTGCAGCTTAAATCACTTATATAAGAATTTCGATTATTTCCAGTATAATTTTTCTTAGTACAGCATTGCGTATACGTAACAAAATCAGTTCAACTTTTCTATACTTCTAATGTCATTTATATTATATGAAACATGTAGTGTGCATTGTTGTTATGTAACATTTGATAGCAAATTACAGATTCATGTTTCCAATTTAGAATTTACAACTATTGCAATTAAGTTTTCTGATTTAAATATGTATGTAGTGTACACACATTATATTTAAATACTTTATCCAGATTGAAATTCGAAACCACAAAATCAGGTTTCAATGCGAATTTTGTGCAATGAAATTTTTCGATTTCACTCTCCGCTGCTTATCAAAATGCATTTCAATAGCAAATATTTGTATTAAAAGTTTATTTCAAATGCATGCAAACCATTTTCATTTGCACATCGTCAAATGGAAGGATTCAACAGGGACACAGTGCATGCTAATGAGTGTGAAAGAGATAGATATAAAAGGGAGTTGTAGTCGAATTAAGCTGAAAACATTTACTAGCTTAAATATATACTAATTTATACATTTTAAAGCTGCTTTCGACAGCAGGAAAGGGAGCTAACTTTGTGCCGCCTGATCTGAGTTTGGCATCCCAGTAAAACTTATGCGGCTACAAACAAACTAACGTTGAGTACCACCAATAGCTTTGACAAAATAGTAGCTCTTCTTTGCCAAACGAGGTTTCAGACAGGATGGTTCCTTATAGTACGATTTTTTTAATTTATTGCTGGAGGAAACCTTAGGAGCTGTAGAATTAAAAACAGAAAATATAAGCTTCTATAAGAGTTTAAAGTTGCTGCCGTACGCCAATGATATTGACATGACTGGCCTCGACAACCGCTCCTGAAATGGATTAGGGTTTAATGACTTTCCATGTTGTAAGCCGTGCCTGTCATAAGAGGCGACTAAAATCCAATAGTTACCGCGACCGTCGGGTCTTTATACGGAACGAATCAGATTTTTTATACCCAAAAAAGTACTTTGGGGAATATTTTTGCGTTTACAACAATAATAACAAAGGCGCCGTGAGATCTGCTTTTTCCAGGCTCAGGAATTCTTTTTCAAATTTTCATCCTTCAGATAAACAATAGTTTGAAAAAAATATAATTTTTTTTGTATCTAGAAATTTAAAAAAAAATCAAAGCTAGCAACTTAAGCTTGCATTTAGATCACATATCCCTAATTCAATATGTGGCCACTAAAGACAGTTTTCCATGGCTGGGTCGGCCAACATCTCGATTATAGAAAATCCATTTTTCTAATTCCGGTCGCTCTTCGGCAGGGATATCAAGCTCTCCGTGTATATTCCTGACATAAAAAGAAAAAGACACGATTTGAAGAGGAACACGATCGCAAATCTCTTCACCTCTACAAAGTGCCAATTTTATATATTTATTTATTTCAAAGGCCTGTAACCAGCAGGCCCTGCCACACGTTGCTGTGGATTTTATCTATTTTGTTAGATTTAGATAATATATTTGGGCTTGTAAAGGAATAAATAAAGGAAAAATGTAATAAAGGGAATAAGGTGAAAGACTCATGCTGTTAGTCCAAATATTAATTTTCAGCAGCGGCTGAGTCATTACCAGAGACAGTAAGAAATTAGTTGCTGCTTAAAGTTCTCCACTACTTTGAACTATGTCTGGACGCAACAAGTTTGAAATAATAAGGAAAGTTGGGCTGTAAACTATTATTATACGGGGGTGCCCGCATCGTCAAACGCAAAACAGACTGTTTACTAACAAACTTACTAGCGAACGACATATATTTTGATCCAAATCACAGCTATTTTTGTCGATCTGTGATCTGTGACACCTTTTCTGGATCCCTGATCCACTTTCCGGAGATAAGTATAGTATTCCTGTTATAAAATAAGCAAAAGCACACCTTTGTACCGAACTTCAAGTATATCGTACCATAACCAATATAAATTTAAATAGGTCAGTGCCTGTTCCACTTTATGGAAGGAAGTGTACTCTCCTTGTTACATGAAGCAAAAAGATGCCTAATAAAAGAAGCATTTGTGAATGTAAAAAACAACCTAACAACGTAATGAGTTTCAAGCAAATTGAATTTCAAGCTCTATTCTGTTATATTTCCGGCATTTCTGTGTCTAAACAAAAGGTATATTTTTCTTACAAAACTTGAACAAAATTTGATTCTCAAAAATATTTGTCCCAATAAGATCGGTAACTGCTCCACTTGGAAATATTTTAATTGCAAGTAAGCCGAATAATGAACTCGGAACTTAAGCTATTTTCAAATAATTTCAAATTATCGAATTTTTATTTCATTTCAGTTCAAAGAAATTTTTTTATACTTCTCTTTCTCTTTGCTTGTACTGCCACTTCAATTGACTGAATACTCTTAGTTTGCGAGTGTTTTTATTTTCTACGCTTGCACTTATTTCGAATATATTAATTAAATGCCAGTGCTGTTTGTAGAAAACTTTGTTAGTGTAAAGACGAGTAAAATATTCGAAAGTGCGCAAGTAAAGTAAGGCAACGCAGCGCGAAGCAAAAATAAACTTTTCTTGTGACGCACAACTACGAGTTCTAGGTGAATGTAGACGCGGCGGCGGTGATTTGAAGTACACCCACCCATTTTACCATTTCGTGGGTGCACAGCTTGAGGGTCAGTCCATTGCGAATTGCCGACTGCCGACTGCTGACTGCCGCCAATTCCATTAACACGTCCAACTTTGATTTTACTGCAATGGTCGCTCAAAGTATTGCTCTTTTTCGGTTAAGTTTTAATTACATTTAACATTACTTTCTCGCTGTGAGCTGCTCTTTCGTGTTGATGGCAAAATTTATAGATTGTTTATTTCCATTTTATTAGCTGCGCTTTCATTTTAGCATTAATTAATTGAACACATTGAATTCAAGTTAATTAAAAATTAGTAGTTAAATTTAATTGAATGCTCTGTTATGACATTTTCGAATTCGAATTCTACAAATTTATATGGCAATTGGTTAGTTAGCTTTTATGGGAGAATAAAACTTTTGATTTGTAAATTTATTTAATAAGTTTTTGATTGATTAATGTTCCTTCCATATAAATACTTGTAAAGTTGGAAATTAATTAGTAATTTTCTGTTTGTTAGTTAGACTTTTGGCTGCACTAGCTGAGTGGGTAGCAGTGCAAGGTCATTTCAAACCATTCCTTTTCATAAATATTAAACATCTGACATAAAAAGAGGTTTTTAACTTTTACTTAATTTTTATGATAGAAATGCCATTTTTTTAAAATAGTTACTCAACTTTCTAGAATTAAAAAAAAAAAATGCATAACCTTTCAATGTAAACGAAAACATAAAGAAAAATAAAAGTAACTCTTAAAAATATCAATGGCTTTGCGTTGTATATCCTGAAAAAAATAAATAAAAAAAATTATAAAAAAAAATTTTTTTATGCTGAAACATCTTCTTCTGTTCATTTTATATTTTTAATGTTCTCTGCCATCATCAGCATTATTCCAGACATAAAGTAAGCCTCAGATCAGATTACAATTTTAAATTTTGGCATTTTATTGGTCCGTATCCAAATGTTAAGCTAATTTTTTACTTTTCTTCAAGACGACAACATTTTTTTAAATTTCTTTGGTTTTATATGTTTTACCTCCATTTTGGGACACTTCATAGTCCATACAATCCTCTTAACGTCTCTGTTTGTCCTTATACATTTCCGGTAGCCTGAAGCTGGATAAGATTACAAAAAAATTTATTTTTTTGTATTTTTCGGAATTGCGCGGCTAAGTGAGTATGTCCAGAATGCGAGATTACCGCTTGAAGAAAGCATGTAAAGACAGCTTATTAAAAGAAAAATGCATCCTTGATACTGTAGAACAATCATTGTGGCAGTTGTTTTGTTTTTATTTTTTTTTTTTCAAAAATCACCTTTTTTTGCTGTCCCACTGGCTAAATCCATTGAGTCAATAAATCCCATATCACTAAATTCTCAACAAAATTTTTTGATTTGAAACATTTGAATTTCTTCAAATCTTTGTACTTTAGAGACTGCAAAATATATATTTTTCGACGACAATATTCACATTAAGGAATTAAAAGGGTTTTTGATTTTTTATAGAAAGACAAAAATTTCTCGATTTGGCTTATTTGAAAATCTTTAGGAATTTATAAAGAGCATACGAATAGAACTGAAATTTTACTTTTGATTCTTAGCAAACTGGAACAATCCGATTGTAACGGAAGTCATATTAAACTTTCATCAAATGAAAATTATATATTTTTTTTCCTAATTTTCCTGCACTTTATCTAATCTTTGCTTGCATTTAATTTCATTATTTTACACATAAATAAATTTCACACCAACAGCCGCACTCTCACACCTTATTGTAAACATACATACATACAATAAAATATCATCTAAATAATTAGCACTATCTTACGGCTAAACAGTAGTAATAGTTATATATATTCACAACACGCATACCTACAAACTGACATGCTTACATACACGTACATACATACAAATATATACTGACAAAAGTCTCATTAGCTCTATATTGCTCACCCTGTTTTATTCCTGTTACTACACACTAACACTGTTAAATGGTCCGTAAATTGGTCGGTTGGTCGGTCTGTCGGTCACTCACCTTCACCAATTGCTGCGCCCTTCACTCGCACGTCCATTAGTAGCGCGTAAAATACGCTGTCAACACAATTACCTCTCACGAATTTTTTCCACACCAACACTTTCACATTATCCACCTATCACCGCCTATAGGCCATCGTGTACGATTCGTCGCTGTCCCCGTCCCCCCGCCCTCTCGCGCTGCCATTGTCCTTGGCATGCTCGACGTAATTCAGCAATTTTAAACTAATTCCGTTTCCATTTCCGTCACAACCGGCAAAGCCTCCACGATGGTCGTGGTTGCCACCGTTACCGAATCTCACGGAATATATGTTGTCGTTAGTGATGCAGCATCCGAACTGGATACACAACAGACCAGTGCCGACGCGGTGCGTTTTGGTCAAATCGCAGATACTTGTTCGAGTTCGGCTGAGGAGCGACCCGAATTCATCATAACAACATTTTTCGCCGCATAATCGGTGACAAAGCGATCACTATTGCGCGGATGTATATTACCCACCTCTTGTCGACAGCACCACGGATTGCGTGTGGTGAGTATACGTTTGAATGCATCACGAAATTCCTTATTGAATATGGAATAGATGATGGGATTGAAAGCGGAATTGGAATAACCAAGCCATGAGAGTATTTTGAATGTTTGACCACCGATGCAGGTCTTACAGAAGGCGGCCACAATATTGACACAAAAGAATGGCACCCAACAGATGAGGAATACACCCATGATAACGCCAACTGTAACGGCTGCTTTGTGATCGGACACGTGGTAGGGTGAACTGTGATGCAGATTGCGCACTTTGAACTTCTTCGGCTGATTTTTGTTGCGTCGTATACTCTTGTAGCGTTGCTTTTCGGCCACTTCGCCAGGTCGCGTCACCGCTTTGATGGACTTCACATGCTTCTGGGCGTAGCAGTAGAGTCTGAAAATGATAGAAATTTTTTAATTGGATTAAGTATCGTCATATTAATTAAAAATGAATTAGAAGGGAAACTTTTATATAAAGACGGTGACGAAATCTTAAAGAATCATACTCAGCTAATTTTATTATTTTCTAAGTAGTCGCGTACGGAATTAAGCTTTTGAAGTAAAGTGGTGAATTGGCAATCGGATCAGCGCAGAGAGCAAACCATTATCTATCCGAAGGCAGGGATTGACACATTGCGCTGACAACCCCAACCTGGACTATTTAAAGTCAGTAAGGATGTCAACGGTAAGACAGTATTTAAGACTAGTTTACAATTCCACGAAACAAAGTTTGGATCGAGGTCCATAAAAGTCCAGTTTCATTAGCAAGTTTCCCGTATATTAAGTGTTAAGCTGATATTCACATATGGCTTTGAGCAGGCTCGAGTTATATGTATACATAGTCCCATTGAATTTGACCTTAAAGTGGATGAGATTTATTCGAAAATATTTCTCACCTGATCATTTTTTCGAGCAAAGTAGCAATTAGCTCACTACGGAGGGAACCAACGTGAATATCACTTGCGTCTCTGAAAATCAAAAAATACAAGCTAACAAAACGTCTAACGAAGTAGCTCCCACTCACGCCGCTGGTGCTGTGTTCACTGTCGACTGTCTCAGACTTTTCACGATATTTAAATTTGTCTCAAGCAGAGTACCATAGAGTGAGACGAAATGCCGTTCAACAGCTTCAAGTAGTTTATACCACTAACCAACTATGCAGCAGCATGGACTGCGGTCAGACTTAACTATTATTGACAAGGCATTTACACCTGAAGTTTCATCTTCGAAAATTTGTTCGCTTGCATCAGCTGGATGTAAAACATGCACGAAAAAGGACAAAATTCTATACACTACTTCTACAAGTGTTCGACCTTCAGCCGATTGAAGCGTCATATCTTCCACGATGTGTCAAGTTTCAACCTAATTTAAAGAGATAAGCATCTGCTAAAAAAATTTGAAAGTTTATCGACCAAGCGAACGGCTCGCTAACAAATAGTTGGGTTAAGCATGCACAGACGAGACTGGTTTTGTCTAATGAGTCAGACGAAAGAACTAATAATCGAATGAACTATTTTCTAACACATTAGAGCACAGCAGGCCTACCCAAAGGCTTAAATGCGATTGGTTTTCAGCCTCTCCTTTTAACCAATTAGCCAATTAATATTTTTGTATTTCAATATAAACGTCGGGAAAAATATTTATAGAAGCTCTTAATTGTATGCAACGTTCTGCCCTAAATTTAAGTTTAATTTTAATGTTGCCTACAATTGGGCGTATATTTGTGTAACTGTTAATACCTGTATTCAAATTAAAATTAATTTATTATGAGCGCTCGATAATTAATTCAGATAATGCACCTGATTGTAGGCAACGTTTATTTACCATTTCCTCAAATCTTTAGTAATAATTTTATTTATTATTTTATTATATAGAATTACAAGATATTTTTTTATTATTATTTCAAATAATATATACAACTATGATACGTATTCCCGCCTGCAGTGTGGCAACCATAAAAGTGTATATACAATTTTCACTTAGCCATTCAATTGCCATGCCGCTCAAACGAGAACTCTCACTTGCACAGAAAGCTGTGTTTGTACAATCTTCTTTGTAAAGAGTTCACCATAGTAAGCTTGCAAAGGAAATTACAAATTGCCGCCAGCGGAAGGAGGCCGTTCTGGCGCGTTCATTCATGCAACAACCACACCTTTTTCTTGCCAAAAAATTAAAAACAAAAACAAAAAAGGCACGCGTCTCACCTGCTCCTCGTATAGACAGGCAATTTGGACATTCATCCCCAATACAAGCTTCGAGTTGGCCTTTTCAATTCGTTCTACATTTGCTTTTGGAAGACTGCATGGTAGTGAGTCGTCTGGCGATTTCGTGAAAAAATATGCCTTTTGAGCACTATGTCAGCAAAATCAAAAAGGCAACTACGTGCAAGCGGTGTGTACGAGTTCGGTGCAATTGCATACAATTTTACAATGGAGAGCAGCACGTTCTACAAGTACATACATATACTTTCATCCTTAGGAATGGCGTGGTTGTACAATATAAATGTGTGCCAGTAAGGTGTGGCAGCAATCCACTTTGTGATGTTAGTGCATGGCATTAGGCAATTTGTAGTAGAACCGTTGAAGACAAAAATGTGCTTGGAATGATAAAACCTTTGTATGTGTGCCATAGCATTGCCTGTAGGGAGAAGGTAGCTAGTCCACAAAAAATTTCTAGTTAATTAATAATATTTTGAAGGTAAAATCGAACCAGTTGGCGATCTGCATAACGGTTCACCATTAAGGGGATTAATGATAATTTCACCATGGTAGGTTGTAGTCCATTCCTTGGAAAAATTTCAAGACGCAAAACCACAAAATTGGAGCAAGAACTCGGCCGAAAAACACTTAAGCCCTACAAAGCGTCAATTATATATGTTGTTGTTACGTCTAGCGCGCCACAGCTGGCTGAACTCCATTCCCAGTTAAACTAAGGTGAGCAATGACATTCATTGCCTAATCGTCACCATATACGAGTGGTTAGAGATTATTGCTGGAGTGCATGAGGTTCGCGGCTCATGTTCCGCCGCAGGTAAATTCAGTTTTTGTTCTCTTTTCCTTTCAATGAAGTGGAAATTCTACATGGTGAGAAGAACTGGTATTTAATTAGTATAGAGTTGATTTATATACAGCGTTAAATTATGTATTACATGGGAAATCGGTGAAAAAATAAATCAATGGTTTAAAAGTGCAAATGAATTGAGCTCTAGTTGAAAACTAGTATTTGTTTCCAGCAGGGCTTGCATAAGCGTGAGGTATGTTCATATAGTATACGTAGGTCATTCTAAGCCTAGATCAAGTCAGCCATAAGAGTACTGGCACACACTGTTGAACATGCAACCAATTGCAATATTTACTCATTTATACATATATACAATATGTAGTTTTCTATGCGCTTTTGTGCTATATTCCGCGTAGTAGGCAGTTTTCTTGCTAAGGTAAAATGCTTTCAAGAGTAATGGTAATGATCATTGTTGTTCTTGCGCGCTTAGTTCCATCGCGTGTTGGCTTTATGTTCATTGGTAAGTGAATTAAAATATAAATATATAATGCAGTTTTGAGCGGCTTTCGTAAGGGTTTGTAAATTTTTGGCAGAAAAATGAAGTTAAATTGCACTCAAGTGGTAATTGAAATAGATGGCGGACCATTCAGAGTAAAGAGAAATGCTGCATGGTAATTGGAACGGTTGTGTGTATGTGTTGCTTTATATGTGTGAAGAATAAAACTAATGACTAAACTACACTTTTTTGTTTCATGTTACCATACTCTTCAACAGAACTCAGCAAGGATTCACTGAGAGGGACTCAAGTAAAGTTACTAGAATATCATTTTGCGTAGCCTTTACTAAACGCAGTTCAATTTGTACTACAATAAATTGGAAAAGCGTTCAGCTCCATTTAGCGCATCTACTTTATTTGCCTGGATTGAAGTGAATTCAATCAACTAAAATTAACTTAAGCGTAGAAAATCCGATTCTGTGGAACCACTTAGACATATTCGGTCTGTAGTCTAATTGCAGCTTCCAAAGAAGATTCGTTACATCAAAGTATTCTTACTAAGACCTCTCACGTAGTGCAATCGTAGTCTGGTTTTGTGATCAGTCACGAAATAATCAATCCTGATAGTAAACCTCAGAACAATCTCGAAAAAGATATACCAATTGGGACGACAAGAAAGTCAAATGATTTGAGGATGACAATTGATTGTATGCACTTGAAATATTTGGTCTCTCAATTGGCAAAGAGATACTGCCCAGTTAATTGATGTTCCCTGAAATATTAAGACCGACTTAGATATCATTATGGGTCAATTCAAAGAATGGAACAGGTTGGGTCCAAGGATATTTACTACTGTGGGCTAGTAAAAGGGCTTACATTTGATGTGGGATTTGTATTAGGAAAGAAATTCTTGTCAAAAGGAATGAGTGGTGAGGTCACAAATTTATTCCTTCGAAGCTTCTAACGCATGACCGCATTAATGCTGTCCCCTTAATGTTTTCAACATGGTGTTCGGCTTTTTCAAAACCATAGTAAAAAATTGCTCGCCAAAATGAAACCTTTTCAACTGGTTTGGTTAATCAATTTTCTCGGTGCTCGAAACTTGTTTATCTGTCGTATCAGATTTATAGGTTAGTGTCACTGTAGATGCTTAAAAAAAATTTTTTTTTTGGTTTTAGTTTTATAGAACTGTCTCAGACCATACATTTTTGGGATTATGCGAAAAAATTACAACAACAATTTTGGATTATTCCCTTTCTTTCCACAAAAAAAAGTTCTTCAAAAAGCGAAGGTGAGGCAAGACCGAAAAACTCACGTCAAGTCGTTCGTTTCTTCGATTTTCATCGTGTGGTGCACTATGAATTCCCTCCGATCGGTCAAGAAGGAATATTATTTAAGCGTCGTTTGCTTAAAGTAATTCGCAAAAAATTCCAGAATTATGGGTCAACAATGGTGGGTTTTTTCATCACGATAATGCACAGCGCACTCATTCTTCGTGATCATTTCGCTAAAAATTCTACGAATTGCGTTTCTCAACCACCGTATTCGCCGGACTTAGCATCACGTGACTACTGGCTCTTCCAAAAACTCAAAATAGCATATCGAGCACACCATTTTGAGTCGACTGAGGAGATTAAACGTGAGGGTCGTACCGGACCGAGACTATTTGACATGCTTCTATAATTGGAAAAAGCGTTGGCATAAGTGCATTGCATCGGCAGGATACTAGTTTGTAGGCGACAAAATCGTTGTAGAAGAATAAATGAAAATTTTTAATTTAACAAAAAAATTAACCTTACTTTTTGCTCACAGCGTATACCACCAGATCGGCCGATTTTAAAGTAGCCCTCGAAAGCATCAAAAGTAGTGCAGATGCCACTATGTGCGAATTTTACTAT